CCTGACAAGAGAAACCCTCCTCCCCTGCTTCCTGACATGGCCCCACCCCCACTGCCATGGAGCAGGGGACCTGTGAGTCACTTATCCTGACTCCGTGTGGATACCGTGAGACCTGAGGACAGTGTCCCCAGGAGCAACCTTACCCACCCCCACCCTCCCAAGCACCTCTGCTGGTACTCCACCCTCGTTCTGCCTCCCTCCATCCTGCTTACGAAGGTCCCCACGTTCCTTCCCCCATGACTCAAGAAAGCCTGGTGCTTGCCTCGAACCCCAGTTCCCTCAGCCCCCATTGGCTCCACCCGGGGTGGGCGTCTAACCCACCTCCACAGGCTGGTCCCATGAAGGGTCTGGGATGGTTGCTGGTGGTTCCCCCTTCAGGCAGGCCCCATCAGACACCTCATCTTCTTGTCAGGCTAACATAGCATGGGCCACTAGGCCATCCACACTGGGGGCCTGGGTGGGAGCTGTGCTTTGTCCCCTCCTTACAAGTGGATAGATCCCAGCCTGGTCCTTATAATGAAGACCCCTCGGCCATCTGGAGCCCCCAACCCCACTCAGGAGTCTCTACTGCTTCTGGGGCTCCAGGCTCCAGGATAGGTAACCCCCGGTGTGGGCATGGAGGGGGCTTCCTGCCAGTCTCCGTTCTCCAGAGCCTCCGAAGCTGTCTCCTCTTGCAGCACCAGCAGTGCAGGGGCATGGACACCCCCCAGCCTTTAGGGTCCAGGGCTTTGCTGGCCTCGTGTTCCTCAGTTCTCTCACCTGTCACCAGTAGACAGGCCAGTGTGGGACTGGGCCGGAGGATTGGGGGCCGGAGGTCTGACAAGCTCACAGAACATTCTAGGCCCTATAGTCTGGATATAGGACCAAGCTCAGACTTGACCAAAGCTGGAGGTCTCTGAACTCACCCCTGTCTTCTCCCACCAGCTGCCAGAGTTTCTAAACTCTGCTGGTATCTGGTGGACTCAGGCTGAGGGGACAAATCCAGGATTTGGGGAGCTGACAGCATTAAGGGCAGCCTGGTAGAAGAGGGACCAGGCCTGGGGCTGGCCAGAGGAGCCAGTGCTGCTGACTGAGGCACGCCACCAGGGTAGAGAAGGGGTCGAATGGCCAGAAGGAAATGGGCCCCTCTGGCCTGGCCCAGGGCTCTGGGAAGGTCTCCCTGTGGGGTCTGGCCTTTGGAGATGATCGCTTTTGCAGGTCCAGGTGGAAGCAGCAACGTGGAGAAGTCTTCTCCAAGGACCCTGGGGGTGGGCCATGTCTCTTGTGCAGCCCAGGAGCATGGGATCTTGCAGTTTGGGGGCCTGGGGCAATGTCTGCTATGGCAGGGGGCGGGGGCGCAGACACAAGGGTAGGCGGACAGACTGGGAGTGGAAATCCAACTGTATCATTTCCTTGCTGTGTGGCCTTGGACAAGAGTTTTGGGGAAACTCTTTGAGCCTCAGTTTACCGTCATCAAGTGGGAATAGCAACGTTTCCTGCAAGAGTCTAGTGAGTGACATTCTGGACATCCTCTGGCACTGTGGCTGCAGGGCAGAGGAGGGGCTCCCTTGGTGCTCCAGCCACCTCCTATGTCCCCTGGGCGTGGAGCTCTCTGCAGCCAACTGGTTGGCTCCCTGCCACCTCCAACACCAACCTCCAAGTCTAGCCTGTCACCCAGGGCCAAGGACCAGCTCTACCCGATCACCCTACCATCACAAAGCAGCAGCTGGAAAGGAGCTGCCATGTCCAGCCACACTTGAATATCTGCCCATATTGTAGCCCAAGGACACGTTTCAGCCATGGTGGTGGGTTCAGGGTGCAGTCCCTTTCAGCTGCGTGATACACAAACGTGCACATACATGCACACCATGGGCCACCCACATCCCCTCTTTTTGGCTGATACTCAAAGAGATGCCAGAGCTGTCGGGGGCTGGTGGGCTGGGGAAAGCCTGGGCAGATTGTGCTTCCCAGAAGCCCTGGTAGTTGAGAAGAGGAAGAAAGGGGGCTGTCAGGGCTGGTGGAAGAGTTCAGGTCAGGCCGCTGCCACTTGGTGGGGCCACTTTAGGGATGGGGGTGGGGCGCCTGCCTGGCGTCTTTGACTAGGTGGCGGCGGCGGCGGAGGCGGCTGCCCATCTGCAGTGGGGCTGGATCCTCAGCCCTGCACTGACCGCCTTTGGCCAGACCTGAATGGCTGGCACGTCCTTGCCATGTTCAGAGAGGCTGCCAGTAAGCCTGGCTTGGATGGGCCCGGAGAAAGCCCACAAGGGGACTTTCTGGCTTCCAGGAACAGACAAGGAGGGCCCTGTGTGCTTGGCGTCCAGAGGCTCCAGGAAGCCTGGCCTCCTCCGGCACACCTGTGGTCACCCCTTATTTAAGGAAGGGCATCCAATGGGTTCCGGCACACGTTTATGGGGGACACCTCTCTTTCCTGGCTGCCTGACTGTTTCAGTGTATTGGGGGATGTGTCTCACAGTGGGGCCTCTATGTCAGGGAGCAGGGACTACTCCCAGCCAAGAAGAGAAGTTGGGTGAGATTCCCGCCCAGGATCCCAGCATTGCCTCTCATGAGCCAGGCTGGCCAAGGGGCATGGTGAGTTGGGCAGGAGCTGAGCTGGGCTCCGTGTCTCGCGGCTGAGACTTAGGGGAGGGCAAGTCCTCTCTTTGGGTCTCAGTTTGTTCTTACATAGAATGGGGATAAGAACAGGTTGGATTGTGGTCTCCCCTTCACGGGTCCCCTCCTCAGGTATCTTTCCTTCATCCTTAGTCTCAAAGTGTGGCTGGTCCCCACACCCCTAATTTCTGAGCCCCTCCTTCTAACCTGCCGCTCAATCTCTTCCATCAGAAGGAACCTGAGCAGGAACTTGCTCCTCCCATAGACTTCCCTCAGCCTTGCCAGGGTCTCCACCTAAGGATGTTTCCACAGACCCACTTGAGGGAACCCAAGCTGGAACTGGCTCCTTCCATAACCTTCCCTCAGCCTTGTCAGGGTCTCCAGACTGGCTACAAGTCCACTCTCCACCCAAGGATGCTTCCACGAACCCACTTGAGGCCTGTCCAACCTCTTTCTTTGCGGAGCGGGGCTAGACACCCTCACAGACTGCCCACCTTCCCTGGGAGCCTGGAAGTCAAGGTGGTCCCCTGAAGAGACTCCTAGTTCCAGCGCTGGAGCTGCTATTCTCTGTGGAGACCTCCTGGTCATATATGCGTCTGGGCCCTCCCTTTCCCCTCAGCCTGCCTAGGGCCTTGGCAGACCACCCACCCCACCCCCACCTGTCCAGCTCAACTGAGTCTCACAGCCTTCCAAGGCCTGACTCATTCCCCCTGTGAGGTAGCGTCTTTGGCAGAGGTTGGGGTGGGGGCGGGTGGAAGCAGTCTCCTCCTCCCACCCCTGGCAGGTCTGGCCCCAGAGGCTGCATCAGGCAGGCGAGCGTGACCCTTTTCCTGCTCTGGGGCCCAGTGAGCTCAGTTGATTGCTGGCAGGACCTGGGAGTGCGACTAGGTAGACTCTAGAGGCTCCTAGAGATGAGGACAGCTATGAATCATCATCCAGTGGCCCGGGGGCCCAGTACCAAGCTGGGCTCGTCATACACGAGAGAAATGGTGGTGGTGGTGGTGGTGGTGTGCTGTGGAGTCGGTTCCGACTGATAGTGACCCTGTGTAGTGTTTCCAAGACTATACATCTTTACGGGAGCAGAAATCTTCATCTTTTTCCTGAGGAACAGAGACACTCAATTCATGCTTCCAAGTTTGCTGTGTGGCCTGGGACAAGCAGACAGCCTCTCTGAACCATTACTGGAGGCAGTGGGTTCTGGCTTGGGCTGTGGGTGGCAGAGTCATTGTAGAGGCCTGCAGGGATGTCCAGCGTGGTGGCTACAGCAAGCTTTGACTGGTACAGGTAGGTAGGGCCTCCATTCAAATGCTCTCATGAGAATGGTTGTGTCCAGACAGAACCAGGCCTGGAAGTGCCCCAGCCCCTGACCACCAAATTCGCTCACATGTCCATGGGCCTGCCCAGGGAAGGAGCAGGCAGGGGCCAAGCTTTCAGAAGGTGCTAGCCTACGACAGCAGAGTACCCCACGTCTCCCACACCTCCTGACTCCTTTGCAGCCAGCACTCAAGCTGAGCAGCCACCCCTGCCCCCAGCTGACGTCCCAAAGATCCCCTATGGGTGAGGTGGGCTCTGTGTGAGGGCCTCCTTGGGGTGGGTGGTCTTGGGTTGCAGAAGGGAAGCAGGGGGCACAAACATGATTATTGCCATTGAACAGACGGCTAAAACCAGGGACTTGTCTGTGGAATCAGGCGAGGCCAGGGGGGCAGCTGAGCTAGGGGCTCCTGCCTCTTCTTGTGAGGTATGTTTTGTGCTTCACCCTTGCCTTTGGATGGGGCGTTGATGGAGGAGGAGGGAGAGTTGGGGGGGGGTAGGCTCCGGCAGGGCAGCTTCCCTTCCACCTCTTGCTTCAGCTCGGGGGGCCTCCAGACTAGCCTGGCCCTGCCCGCCATCCTGGCAACAAGCTGCTCCCCTCTGGTGGGTGGTCTTTCTAGGGGCCATGGGTACAAAGGCAAGGTGGGGGTAGATCTCAGGAGTAGGGTAGCTTCCAGGAGAGGAACTATTCCCCCTCTACCTCTGGGGCTCCAGACCCTAAGGATGCCCTCTCCTCAGCTGCAGGAAAATGTGGGCGCTGTTGGAATGGGGGGCTCGAAGACATGTAACTCAATGCTAATGTGTGGGCATTGGCCGAGGCCCAGGACTCATCCCCCTTCCCACCAAGAGAGGTTGCTGGCTAGCTGGAGGGTGGAGCATGGAAGGATTTATGGGGAGAATATTTCATTTTCCCATGAAGCCTGTGGTCTGGCTATCCCTGGTGGTGGAAGGGTGGTGGACAGGCTCCTAGGGAGCAGGCCCTTCATGCGGGAAGCCGACCTGAAGTTCGGTGCTCCAAAGGGGTGGTGGGTAATGGGGCTGGACGGGCGCAGGACTGCATGAGGAGCCGGCCTGATGCCCTCTTGCCCTTGGTCCCAGGCACATTAACCATGCGATCCCTGTGGTTCCTCATGGCTCTGCTGGCCCTGAGCCAGGCCCTGCCCTTCGAGCAAAAGGGCTTCTGGGACTTCACCCTGGATGACAGCTTGCTGATGATGAATGACGAGGAGGCCTCAGGCGCTGGCACGGCCTCTGGTGCCCCGGACCTGGATTCACTTACCCCGACCTTCAGCGCCATGTGTCCTTTCGGCTGCCACTGCCATCTACGAGTTGTTCAATGCTCCGACTTGGGTCAGTCCCAGCAGGGGCACGAGCGTGGGGTATCGTTGGGGCCAGCAACCCAAGAGGGGCTTGTGGCACAAGGGAGGGGCATGGCAGGGTGGGTCAGGGGTGGGTGACCCCCATGTGCTTGAGATCAGAGTATTCAGGCGTGGTTGCCTGTCTGCATGCTCCCCTTGGTGTCAGAGTCCCCGTGTGCGTCTCTCTGTGTCCTCGTGTGTCTGCCCATATACCTAGCCCTTCACACAGATGGGTGGTCAGGTTGGACAGCCCTGTGCTCAGAGTCTCATGTGGGCGCTGGTGGTGCTGCTCCCCAGGTCTGAAGACTGTGCCCAAGGAGATCTCGCCAGACACCACCCTGCTGGACCTGCAGAACAATGACATCACCGAGCTGCGTAAAGATGACTTCAAGGGCCTGCAGCACCTCTATGTAAGACTGGGTCCAGGGGATCTGCACAGGAAAGTTGGGACCAGAAAGCTGTGTACATGTAGCACATGTGAGATCTGAGCCTCCAGAATCCTAAGAAAAGTCTGCGCCAAGTGTGGTGGCAGCTCCCCACCCTTTCCAGACAGCAGTTCTCATTCCCAGACTTTTCTGTGTCCCGTAGACAAGTGGGGGAGCTGAGGCCTCGAGAAGTGGTAGGCTCAGGAGGCAGGGAGGAAGAGAAAGGAGAAGGGCCCTGTGTCACCCTGCCACCCCATGGCAGGCACTCGTCCTGGTGAACAACAAGATCAACAAGATACATGAGAAGGCCTTCAGCCCCCTGAGGAAGCTGCAAAAGCTCTACATCTCCAAGAACCATCTGGTGGAGATCCCACCCAACCTGCCCAGCTCCCTGGTAGAGCTCCGTATCCACGACAACCGCATCCGCAAGGTGCCCAAAGGCGTGTTCAGTGGGCTCCGCAACATGAACTGCATTGGTGAGTGTGGTTGGGCCGACCTGAGAGGGCAGTTGAGTGTCCCCCACGCACGTCTGGAGCTGTCACAGAAACTCGTTTTCTCACAGTTCTGAATTCCAAACGTGGCTCTAGGGGGACTTCTCTGGTGCTCCTTGATATTTCACATGGTGTGTCTTCCCTGAGTGCCTGCTCTTTCTAGAAGTCACAAGGGATCAGGTTTAGGGAGCGTCTCACTCACATAACGAAAGGAAACCCCTCTTTCTAAGCAGGGCCACATCCACAGGTACAAGGGCCAGGACTTCAAGACTTGGTTTGGGGGATACATGATTCAATTGATAAGACAAGATGATGGGAAGCCAAGGCCATCTGTGTAGGGGCAGGCTTCCAAACTTCTTTGGGGAGTGCTTCCTGTGGTCAACCTGCCAGCTACAGAAAGAGCAAGGATGACTGTGTGGAGACGACTCCAAGGGGGCTGCGATGTGCCAGGTGGAAGGGACAGGGAGGAGGGCAGGGGATGAGCATTCCGCTGAGGTGGACTCTCTCCTAGAGATGGGCGGGAACCCCCTGGAGAACAGTGGCTTCGAGCCTGGAGCCTTTGACGGTTTGAAGCTCAACTATCTGCGCATCTCCGAGGCCAAGCTCACTGGTGTCCCCAAAGGTAGGAGGTGGCCTTCCTCAGCCCAGCCTTTGCCTCCAAGCGCACAGACTGGAAGAGCGGGAGGGAGGCTGCAGCCATCTGGAGTCCTAGGCTACTGGGGGGCAGAGCTGCCAGGCTTCACTCCCTCCCGGCACTCTTGCCTCTCCTGCCTCCAACTCAATTGAGAGCACCCCTGTCCCAATAGACCTCCCCGAGACCCTGAATGAACTCCATCTGGACCACAACAAAATCCAGGCCATAGAATTGGAGGACCTGCTTCGCTACTCCAAGCTATACAGGTGGGGGCCAGCGAGCGGGTGCAGGGCTAGAGCAGGGGAGTAGCTGGTGGCCACTTTGATCACCCTGACCACGCCAGCTTTGCCCTGTGCACAGGCTGGGCCTGGGTCACAACCAGATCCGGATGATGGAGAACGGGAGCTTGAGCTTCCTGCCCACCTTACGGGAACTACACTTGGACAACAACAAGCTATCCCGGGTGCCTGCGGGCCTTCCAGACCTCAAGCTCCTCCAGGTGAGGGCCCTCCCCAGAACTCCCTGCCCTCCTCTGCTCTTGCCAGTCTCTTCATCTGGCAAGAAGCAGTGCCAATGACCCGTGACATAGACTGTTTCCAGAACTATCTCCCAAGACAGAGACAGCACAGGACAGTAAGTGTGCCTTGACTAGGGTCTTCTCAGCTGCCTCCATCCCTGCCTTGGCTTTCAGTCACACAGGTGAACTTGGCATTGAGCAGTCCTGCTCTGAGCCTTAGTCTCTTCCTCAGCCCAACTCAGACATGCCAGGAGCCGAGCGTTTTATTCACTAGAATTCCCCGTTCCCACTTTCTCCTGCCACGGCCTTAGCGTAGTGGTTACTAATCGGGCTGCTAACCTCAGGGTCAGCAGTTCGAAACTACCAGCTCTTCAGAGGAAGAAAGAGGAGGGTTTCTGCTCCCGTAAAGATTTACAGCCTCGGAAACCCTGTACAGGGTCGCTGCGTGACTCCACGGCACATAATCACCACCACTTTCTCCTGCCAGGGCCTTGCTGGGCTAAGTGCGCCCTCTAGTGGCTAGTCTCATGTCCGCCTCCAGAGGCCACTGCAGCAGCCTAAGCTAAATCGGTTCCGACTCGACCGCACTTAACAACCGGCGGTGGATCCATGTAATAAACACTGGACTGCGAACCGCAAGTTCTGCCGTTCAAGCTCACTAGCCACTCCTCAGGAGAAAGATGAGGCTTTCTGCTCCTGCCCGAAAGATTTTTTAAAGCCTCGGAAACCTTATAAAGGGTGGCTCCTGGTGTGGCGGTATGAGGTCCTGGTGTGGCGCTGTGGGTTAATGCGCTGGACTGCAGAGTCGGTATGAACTGCAAGGTTGGCGGTTCAAACTCACCAGTCGCTCCTCGGAAACCCTGTACAGGGTCGCTATGGGTCGGAATCGACTCGATGGCACTTAACAACAACAGTCAGTAGGTATGGAGTCCTGGTGTGGCGCTGTAGGATAAGCACTCGACCATAAGGTCAGTTTGAGCCACAAAGTCGGCAGTTCGAACTCAACAGCCACTCCTCAGAAACCCTATACAGGGTCACTATGAAGTCAGAATTGACTCGATGGCACTCAACAACAATCATAACATGAGTCAGTGTGGTGTGGAAGGAAAACTCACTGGACAGCAAGGTCGGTTTGAATCGCAAGGTTGGCAGTTTAAACCCACCAGCCGCTTATCAGAAACCCTAGACAGGGTTGCTATGAGTCGGAACCCACGCTATGGTATGTAATAGTAGCAACAACAACCCAGGATTCTGGTGTGGTGCTGTAGGATAAACACTGGACTGCAAACCACAAGATTGGTGGTTCAAACCCACCAGCTGCTCATTAGAAGCCCTATAACAGTGCCGTTAGGAGCCGTAACAGACTTGAAATAACAACAGTCTCCCGTGCCTCCGTTGTCCCCTAAGCGGGGGGAACATTGCTAGAAGGCGAGTCCCTGGAAAGCTGGGAAGAAGAAGAGGCTACCCTGAGCCTTTGGGATGAGAGGGAGGCCTAGCGCCCAGGGGACCGAGGGCCCCTCTGTGTGTGCCATCTTTCCTGCCCCCTCCCTCTTCCCCACATACACCTCCCTACCCCACACCCTGATAACATCCCCACGCAACAGATAGCCTCCCTTTGCTCCTCCTGGCCACATGCTAGCTCGCAAAAAGGGCAGGTGGGGTGAAAGAAAGGGCTCTAGAGAAGGTCTCAGGTCTCCGGACATGGGAGAGGGCCCCGTTCCCCCTGGGCCTGCCCCTGAGAACAGCCCTGGGGAGGCTGCTCAGGGAGACAGGGCCCCTTCGAGCCAGCCTTGGCCCTACCCTCTGCCCCCAGGTGGTCTACCTGCACTCCAACAACATCACCAAGGTGGGCGTCAATGACTTCTGCCCCGTGGGCTTCGGAGTCAAGCGGGCCTACTATAACGGGATCAGCCTCTTCAATAACCCTGTGCCCTACTGGGAGGTACAGCCTGCCACCTTCCGCTGCGTCACTGACCGTCTTGCCATCCAGTTCGGCAACTACAAGAAGTAGAGGCAGCGGCAGTCGGGCAGGGTCTTCAGGAACCCAGAGAAAGCAGCCCCGTCCCAGGCGCCTACCCTGGATGTCCGCCCCACCCTACTCACTGCCCATCCCAAGGAAGGAGACAGAAGCACACCCCTGCCAGCCATGGCATCCCATGCCCCTGGTCTTGGAGCTGCCTCCACCCACCTGCCCCTACCTTCCCCATGGTCACACCGAGGTGCCTTTTCAACCCCATTTGCCCTGGAACGCCACTTACGGCAGGCTCAAGTCACAGGAGACCACCTTTGGGTCCTCGGGAGGCAGGGTGGGGGATGGCAGGGACTCAGCAGTGGTGGAAATGGACCTGCCACCGGTCTAGGCCCAGGCCTCCCAAGCAAGCTTCTTCTTGACTGGACGGGCCTGTCCCCCTCCAGGCCCCCTCCACCCACACCCCTCAAGTTCATGGCCCATACATGGAAGCCATCTTGCTTTCCTGTCCATGTATCTCTCTCAATCATCATCTCTCTGTCTTTTGATCTCATGATCTCTGTTTTTCTCTCATTATCTATTTGTCTCTATTTTTCTCTGTCTCTCTTATTGTCTCTTTGCCTGTCCTTGATCCTGTTCTTGCTCAGACATGCCTCTCCCCGGCCCTGTGACCCTTCCATCTCTCTGGATCCAACTCTATGCTCCTCTGGCCTTCTTGTCCGCCCCCCACCCCATCTTCTCGAAGATCCTGACCCTCTGATTTGGCCTGGGTCTGGTTCCTATCTCTCCTGTCTTTTCCCGGCCAGGCAGGCCTGGTGGGCAGCTGCTTCCTCCGAAGGCCCTGACCAGGCCTGGCCCAGACAGCCCCGAGGCAGGTGCAAGGCCAGATTGCCCAGGGGGCGGTCACTCTTCTAGAAGAGGCAAGGGGGGAGGGGTAGTGTGAGGAAGTCAGGCCCCCCCCACCCCCCACCCCCGACTGCTGCCTCTGCCCTTGCTGTATCTTCTCTGGGTCCTTGTGGGGGTGCTAGCAAGCCTTCACCATGAGGCTGGGCTGCCTCGGGGGGTAATGGTGGTCTTTGTATTAAAGAAGCACTGTGCAATATGGCTAAGTGTGGTGCTGTTGCCTGGGGACTGGAGACCGAGGCCATCGCAGAAAGTGGAGCTGGCAGGAGCTGACTCCGAGCCCTCAGATTCCTCCCCCCACCCCCAGTCCCGTCCCCAGCATAGTCCTCCTCACCCCTGGTCACAAGCTGGACAAGGACACTCCAGGTGAGTAGGTGAAGCCCCCTCCCCCTCACTCCTAGGCATTTCCATTGGTCCAAAGAGTCCTGGTGTGGCGCTGTGGGTTAATGCACCAGACTGCAAAGCCATTTGAACGGCAAGGTCGGTGGTTCAAGCTCACCAGCTGCTCCTCGGAAACCCTCTACAGGGTCGCTATGGGTCAGAACTGACTCGACAACACTTAACGACAACAACAACAACTGTCTTTAGCCTGGGCTCCAGAGCGGACATATGCCCTTCCAGCATGGGATGCCACCTAAATCCCTGGGAGCTGGAACCCCAAGATGGATGCAGGGACAAGTCACACTGTAGCCACTTGGTGCTGGCTCCCAAGAGAGGGCACTACTCACGGGAGACAGGTCTGCCCCAGAAAGGGTCAGTGTGGGGCAGAGGGTCAGTCTCCAGATGACAAAACCTATGGTCCAGGTGCCTGAATGCCTCCAACCAGTGTCTTTCTGCCCGGCCGGCAGCCCTGGGGTTCTCCTTGTGGGGATGGATGTTGGCATACGGCGGGTGGCTTAGCGATAGAGTATCACCGTTGGCATCACAGCACTGTTCTGGGCCATGTGCTCCTGGCTGGTTTGTGACTGGGGGCCTTCCGCCATTGCTCCAGGCGAGGCTGAGGCACTGGATCTGTGCTCTTTGGGAGAAAGCCGGGTCCCCAGCAATCTCCGTCCCATCCTTCCTACCTTCCTTCCCTTCTGTTCATTCTGTCTTTTCTTGAACTCTCACCAAGCTCTGTACTCGGGAACTCCATGAGGGAAGTGACTCTCAGCAGGGACAATTAGTGGGGCAAGTCCTCCAATGGTGCTCACACCAGACACCCCACCCTACCCACAATTGCCTGGGCCCCAGGAAAAGCATCAGTATGATCCTTACAGTAGGGAGTGCCCTGCCTCTTGGAGACAAGCTCTCTGCCTAGACCAAAGAAGGGGACCGGGGGATGTTCCTGACTCTTCCTAGGAGTCCATGGGGGCGGTGGGAACAGTGGGCAGGGCCATACCACACTAGGGTTTGTGGGTTACAGGAAGAAAGGTGGACGTCGTTCCAAGGGCAACAAGCTGCCGAGCCTTGCTTTCATTTCATTGATAAGAATAATGCTAAAAGTATGGAAGCCATGACTGATTGGACTCTAATAAACCAACACAGCCCACAGCCTCAGTGGTTAGAGGCTTTGTCCTCCAGAGCTCAGACCTACCAAGACTTGAGGCAGGCAGCCTGACTGTGGGGGGCGGGGGGTGGATTGGTCTCCTGGAGCCCCCTTCATGAAGGATCACACACTCAGCGACACGTAAGAGCAGATGGCTTTACTCGCACAATTGTAAAGGCCGGGAGTCCGAATTCTGGGTGTAGGCCAGGCCATGTGCCCTATAAAGTCTCTAAGGCCGGTTCCTTCCTTGTCTCCCCAGCGTTCCTTTGTGTGAACTGATGATATCCACAAAGACTCTATTTTCAAATAAGGTCCTGTTTACAGGTACTAGCAGTAGGACTTCAACATATCGTTTTGAGAACGCAGTCCATCTGTAACAAGGAAGACTGGTGGGCAGGTGACCAGTTACAAGTTCCCTATTGGAAAGAAGCAGGTCAAATGGGGTGCAAGGCCCAGATGGATCTGTTGAAAGCGGTTGGGGGACGGTGGTGATAGAATTTCATGACTCCGTTGTGAATAATTGTTAGCAGAATTAATTGCAATTACCACAACTGTAATTGTAGAAGACGTGTAACTAAAAGGAGGGGGAAGGTAATCTTTCATTTCAGGAACAGACGATCCCGGGACCATCAAAAAGGAGAGCCTGAGCGGTGCGTGAGATCGCTATCTAGAAAAGCTGTAACAGCAGAGACAGTTGCTGTGTGCCTGCGGGCAGGAGGCTGGTTGGCAGAATGTGCGCTTTGGACATTTAAGGGAATGTGTATATTTTTGTTTTATAAGTGTACATCAAACATAAGTGCCTTGTTCATTTGTGAAATATAAGATGTGAATGGGGAGCCACAGGGAGGAGGCAGGATACCTGTGGTTGCAGGGAGGGGAATACTATCATTGACAAGAAACAAGGTATAGGGTTTGCTGAATGTAAAGCTGATGATCTTGTCTGTACAAAGTTTTCATAAATGAGGTGCAAGGGACAGGTTTTAGCCCCATCTTTGGCTAAACAGGAACCCCCAGGCCTGGGGTCAGGTATGCTGAAGGGATTGGGAAGAGGGATGCAGATTTTCAGCCAGGCCCACTGTGGAGGAGGCACAGCCTTGGAAGGAGCTTGGGGGCAATGAGGACTGCAGTCTGCCCACCCAGCCACTTGCCTTCATGGCCTGGAGCCCCACCCCACCCCAGGGAGCTGGGGGAAGGTAATGCGTCCATACATGGCGGTGACATTGTCACGAGACTGCTGGCTTGGGGAGGACACTTGGTCCTTGAAGAGCACGGGGCTGAGTGGAGGCATGGCACAGCCATTTCTAAGCTCTGACTGCGTCAGGTGCCTATGGTCAGAGTGAGGGCTCAGCTGGAGCCTAAGCCGAAGCCACTGTTTGGATTTAAACTAGTCAGGGCTTGTTGATGGGCACCTGGCCAGGCATCTGCAGGCCATGGAGGGGGAGGGGACATGGCCAGGGACCTCTGGGAGAAGGCTCACCCTTAGAAGGGCCTGTGGTGAAGGGGTGAGGGGGCGGGGAGGGCTCAGGCTCCAATCTTAGGAGAGCAGGGGCTGAAGAAAGCCACTTCCACTCAGGATGCACGGGACAGGCCACCAGGGCTAGAGGCTGCACACAGCTAGCTCTCCTGAGGTCTTCAGACAGCAAGGACCCCTGGTGGTTATGCTCTGTAGTGTGAATGGGCCCTGTAAGCTGCTCACAGTGGTTCTTCCATCCATGAGAGGTAGCCCTGGGATTTCCAGAAGCTGGGAGGCCAAGGGGAGGTGCGGCTACCTCTCACAGGGCCAGAAGTCCCAATTCAGGGGGTCAGCTGGAGTGATTCTTTCTGGAGGCTTGGCAGGAGCACTGTAGGTCTCTGGTGGCTTGTAGACACATCACTGTCATGTCTGCTCCATCCTCACATGGTCCTCTCCTTTGTGCGCTAACGGACCAGGAGATGTGCTGGTCCCTTTGGGGGGTCCGAGTCAATGGGTCACCAATTTGGGAAGCTGTTGGGCCCTTGTCCATTAGCCAGTCCCTCTTACGGCTGTAAAGGGGTTGATGGGAAGTCTTGCTAGAAATTTCTATCTTACGTCAAGCCCTGTCTTTTTTGCACTGGAAATATCAGGGAGCAGGTTTGAGAAAGACCAGGGCTGGGGGTGACAAGGAAAGGTCCTCTAACTTCCTTACTTAGTGGCACCTCCCTCTCCTTCTCCATTCCTTAGCTCCCTTCTCTGATCCAGCTAGCCCTCCCTCCACATGTCTTTCACCCTTATGGGGCCTGGAGACATCACCAATGGCTTCCTTTCCATAGTCCTTTGTCAGACAACACAGGAATGGCTCCAAGTCTCACCCTACAAAAGCAACCTTTCTGAACCCAAGTCTCCTCTAGCCCCATCTCATCTTCTAGCCCTGCCACATGTAAGCTGAAATTGCCTGCCTTCTCCCTAGGTACTCTTCCCTGCCCACTCTCCTCCGCCTCCCTCTGGGTCCACTACTGCGCTTCTCCCCTGGGCCTCTGTTGCCCAAGCCTGGTCTTCCTCCTTCCCCTTCGATAGCTCAGTTACAGCCTTGGGGCTGGGGGCTGGAGCCCCTCTGGCTGTGTCCTCTTTAGATGAGGTCAACACCCCCCAAGGCCTCAGAGGCCATCAGTGTGTGGAGATGTCCAGACCT